CACAAGCTATAGAATACCGCATTCCAATTTTAAAAGCTTTACACCCATTTACATAAGTTCATATCGATCAAATGATCATTACCTTATTTATTTCTAACTTAAGATAATAGTGTTATTCTGATTAATTTTCTGAGTACCAGGTATGTGAACATCTATATTTAAGATTTAAATTGCTTGTTTGTTTTCTCACACTCACGAATACACCTACACACACAATTGCATTCTTAGTTTGTTTCCACACACACGAACACACGCACACACCCTTTGTTAAGTTGGCAATGAGAAACTTACGCCGTTTAACAAACACTTTGCAGTACGGCCAATTAACAAGCAGATCCGAAACAACAGCCACCTTAAGATATCCAAATCACACAGCCAAAGTCGCTATTGTTCAGCTGAGGCTACTGTCCCAGAAATCGGGTGAAAACAGCGAAACCATCAGCAGGGCTAAGGCTAATTCGCAAGGTAACTTCCACCCAAGGATCCGCCCCATTCACATTGGTGTCACAAATTGCCGGCGAAGTCACAACAACAGCAGCAGCCGTTGCAGCAACAGTCTTAAGTTAAGTTGCTTCTATGCCAGTTTAGGCAAAATGCAGGCCACGCCCAGCGAAGATACTCAGCCGCAGGATCCGAACAAGTCCTTCGAAAGGGACTATTGCGACCTACCGCCCTACCAAGTAAGTACACTGAGGGAAATCCAACAGAAACTAATTCAGGATATAAGAAACAGTAAAAGAAAACTCATTTTTGTGATTCAAATAAACATTCTTCAGTAATAAATACCTATATTTCAAAACAAAGAGTGTATTTCAAGATAATTTTATGATCTACACATATTTAGACAGAAGTCTTCAAAATGTATGATTTGTATAAATAGTAGAAAATTAGGTAGCATAATCGTATAACAATAAAGATACTTCTAAACATATTTAAAGATAAGAGTAACATTTTAGATAAAAGCCTACAAATATATAATCCTAAAAATAGAAGCAAAGTAACTAAAGAAGAACGTACTTTAACATGTGCGTATCTAATTACACTTGATTTAAGTATAAGCATAATTTAAATTTTAAAAACTAGAACGCATTTTGAGCTCTGTGTGAAAGGAATAGTAGGATGAGGTCGCTGCGACAGCAGCATATCAATCAGTTGCAGCAAAACTCATTAAACTTGTGCCAATTGTGTCAGTCAAAGGAGGTTGGCCAGAGTTGCCACCACCCAGCACTGCACTCCCCTCCCCATCCCTACTTCACATATATATATATATTTTATTGTTTTTGTTCCAAGCACTTTGATTGCTTTGCCTGCACTGCCTGCGTTCTCAATTTCAGCCTCATCCTCATATCCCCATATCCCCATATCCCCATTCTCGTTTTCAATTTTCAATTTTCCTACTTTAAAATTCGCAGCGTGTGAGTTTGTTTGTGTGTGGGAGGCAGATACGGCTGCTCATTAATTTTCCGATTTTCGACTCTTTTTCAGTGCGACATGAGTGATTCGGCACCGAATACCCCGGGACCCAGCTCAGCCTCGGCCCTGCCCAAGAAGTATTACCGCCAAGCGGCCCACAGGTGAGTCGAACAAAAAGGAGTTAACAAGCCTTCGAGTAGGTCAGTTTCGATAGAGAAAAAAATCATTTCAAAAACCTGTAAGGAAGCCAATTAAAATGAAAAACCTGATTGTTACACACACAGAATGAATACATCCGTATAATATTAATAACCCAAATTAAAAATAAAAATGAATATAATGTCAATTCATAAATTAGAGTTCGTTTTAAAATAACATTTTGGACTTTAAATTTCAATGCTATAATGATCTTGTCAAATATTTATTGTTTTTTGGAAAAAGAAAATTGCTGTCTTTGGCTTTGCAAATTTGGAATTCCATTAAACCCTCTTTTGATCAGTGTAAACGATGTTAATACAAGAGAGATTTCCAAGTAAAGAGAGTCCATACACCCATATACCATGGTCAATGCCAAGTGCGAACGGTATTCTACGACCTTATCGTCTTATCTCGCAGCCAAAACAACAACAAGCGTAAAAACAACGACTAGCTAGTTAATCCACACGAAATGGGGACGCTCGCTTGACAACCTGACGTTGATAGTGCCTGCCCATTAGTCTAGCCAGGAATTTTGGGTGTATAGGGCTCTATCAAATGGAAATAAATACAAATTAATAAAGTACAAATTGTACTATTATATAAAAGCATATCTAGCAGATATGTAATTTATTATTACTGATCTCAATACAGCGCAATTTTTACAAAATCTGTTGCAAGCTGAATTTAGAATGCATCAGGTATTAAGAAAAATAATGATCATATCATAGCTTTAAAGCTATCCAATTAAAATCTTTATCGTCTGATAAAATTAGACATCGGAATATGTTTGTAAAGAATTTCCAGGGTACACAGGTCTTCTTGATTATAATTTTTTGTCGCCCATCGTGTTTTTTTGCCATTTTTGTTTTTGCTGATTACAATATTTTGTGACGCTGCCCATTATCGCCCGGTTTTAGTTGTTTGATGGTTTGCTGAGGGAGGGGGTGGTGTTGGTCGCAAAAGGGTGGGGGGTGGCGGGTGAGGAGCTAGAGGGTGGTGGGCGCAGTGGGGAGGTACGACTGAATTGCTTGTTAGGCGTAGATTCAAGTGAGTGGGCACTTTTAGCCACTCGAGTGTCAACAGCAACTGCAGTATGCGTTTATCTCAACCCATGTATGTACATATGTACATACATATGTGTTTGTGTCTGAGTCTGTTGACATTGACACGATGCAAAGTGTAAGCAATAATTTTCAAGAATATTTAACTCTGTATTTGGGCACGACTTTTCGAAAAAGGTGTTAAGTGAGTGGGCAGTATGGAAGAAAGGCCTATGCCTATTTATATAAGGGCCCAGCTGGGCTGATCGATAAAGATCCCCTAACCAAAGTCACCTGAAATGCGAGATGAAATATGGTTTTATGGAATATGAACATGGCAATGAATATGCAAATGGCTGATGAAATATTCATGAACGCCGCCGCGCCCATCAACATTATAATTGAGCCCATAACTAATGCGCGCATATATATATGTATGAATGGTAAACCTGGCCATATCTATGCTGTTTATGCTGCTGCTATTCAGAGGTGTCACAGGGATTTGCATATACATATGTTTGTACAAAATCGAATGGATTTATGGGCTGTCAATGCCGCTGGCAAATCGAGAGCGTTCGATCGCCTATCTGTGTATCTGTATCGCCCAGTGGAATCTCTTTGAAAAGTCGAACCCACAAAAAATTCCACTTAGCCAAGTCGCAAACCCCCACGCATTAGCAAATACACTGAGCAAAAATTTTATTTTATTTCTTATAAAAAAAAACTAGAAAAAATACATTTAAAAAATCTTTTCATTATTTTTGGTGGGAAATCGTATTTTTTTTATGAATCTCAACTTGGGTAATTATATTCTGTTTTTCTCTCAGTGTCTGTCACTTATTGGAGCTTGTTGCCTGCTGGGGGCGTGGGCCACATAGCCATAAGTAGTAAGAGTGTGCCACATAACTATTTTCGTACAGTTGAGAGCACAGCAAGTGTACTGTCAAACGAAAATGATTTCTAATAACTAAATTCCTACCCACAATCCAGAAGAGTGTTTGCTAGGGATGATTGTCGATGGTTCAATTGTCTTTCAAACCGGAATCATTTTGCAATCCCGATTTTTTAAATATTTAAATGGCCCAGACCAGCATTTGAGCTTAAAAAGTTTTGGTATTCACTTGGCTCTTAAGTTGTATTTAATTTGTTTTAATTTACAACAATTTTTGCCATTCAATTATATAAAATTTAAAAAATTGTATAACCCGCTTTTAATTTCACTCACTAAACTGAAAAAGGTTTGACAAACCTTGATCTTATTGAATTTAGCGAGGATTCGAAGTGCTGGTGACCCCAACTCATTCGATGCGGAAATGACTATTATAATAGATTAAATGATAACTTAGCCCAGAGACCTTTTCTTTCCGTGTAAGCCACTTGTTTTTACCAAAATGATAAGGAAATATTTCGCCTAATCCACAACTATTTCCTCAACCACCGCTGTGTGCGTGTGTGGCTCACTTTTGTGTGCATAATTTCATTTCTTTGCCGCTTTCCAAGCATTTCCAAGACTGGCACACTAAAATTTCCATGCGCACAAGTGGGTGTAGTCTTTGTAGTTGTTTTGTTTGGCTTATTTGTTGTAGTTTGGCTATTGGAGCTATTTTTGAGTGAGCAAGCAGGGCGTGAAGATAAACAAGAGAGCGGGGTGTGACGAACAGTTGATACCCAGTACACGGAATCAAAATTCGTTGTGAATATGATCACTTTTCACTTCATTTTATTTTTCTTTCCAATTTTTTATTGGGATCTATGTTTCAGTATTTGATAAATAAAATATATTAAAAGAACATTCATTTTTGACATTAAATTGTCTGTGTTACCAGAGCAAACGTTCCCTTTTTCTTGCCCCTTCTTTCATAGATAAAATGAAAACAAACACAGATATAATTTGAATAAGAATTTTATTTGAAAGACGTGTTAAAATGCGGAACTCAGATTGGTATACAAACGTATGTACATCTGTTCCTTTCTAATTGAGCTACTTTGTTTGGTGATCGCCTATCATCCCCTCACCGTGTAATGGGTAGCAAAACAAAGTAGAAAACATTTTTTTGTTTATTGCATAAAAGGCATCAAAACAACAACTGAACGGTCTACGTTGACACCGTCCACGGCAACAACTACAAAAACAGCAAGAGGGGGGCTAGACACAGAGAGAGAACGTGAGAAAGAGAGCGGGGTAGAGAGAGGGCGAACGAGAAAGAGCAAAGCTTTCGACGCCGACGCTCTGCCGCCAGTTCGGAAACGGAGAGAGTTTGCGACTCTCTCTTTTTTGGCGCTCTAGCGCTCTGGCGCTCTCTGCTCTGCCGCCGCTTCCTTCCTCCATTCCCATTTCCACATTGCACTTTCAGTTGAAATTCGAACGTTGACCGAAATCGTTGGAATTTCGTTCGCCCTGAGCCAATTGAATCGAGGAAAATCCAAATCCAAATACGTATCGGAATCGAAACCGAAATCCCAAAACTTTTTTGTTTTTTTTTTGTTTTCTTACCCAAACGATCAGCGACAAAGAGTGTACCGCGCTGCCACGCACGATCTTCATTCAGATATCATTCCAAACTCCAGATCTCGGTGACGTAGTCGTCCGCCGAAAACAGCTGATAAGATACTTATCGCGCGCCCCTCTCCCTCCACCCATTTGGCACTCCCACCGGGCGAAAGAGCTTTATCAGCAGCAGCAGCAGCAGCAGCGACGCGGCGCACCGTTTGTGGCCTTGTAATCCGCGGCACCGCCAAGATGCCACAGCCAAAGCAACAACAACAACCACAGCAGCAGCAGCAAAAGCAAGAACAGCAGCTGCAAAAGCAGAATCCGCTGCAAAAGCAGAATCCGTTGCAGAAACATTCCAGCTCCAGTCCGAGTTCCAGTCCGATCTCCAGCCCGAGCTTCACTTCCAGTCCCGGCATCAACTCTTCCACGATCGCAAAGCGGGAACGCGAACGGGAAAGGGAACGGGAACGCACGCAGACGATCGGCGAAACGGACATGGATCAGTCGGTGCTCAACGGACTGGCGCTGGGCGGAGATGCGCTCGGCAATTACCACGGACACAAGCGCGAACTGGGTCACAGGTGAGCGGTAATACGAAAAATAATACCACCTGGAAGTTTTACAAGAGTCTTAGCTAAGGCAAGCTCTTTAGACTGGAACTACGCAAATAATGATCAATTTTAAAATTCAAAAGGCAATTGAGAACATTATTTCCAGACAATTTCTTACATTCAGAATATTCGAGTAGACATAAGTTTAGAATATTGCGTTTAAGACGAGCGATTCTCTCTAGTAAGAAATACCCCTAGATTAACATAATACATAATACTTGAAAATGAAAATCTATGAAACATTTAAAGTTTTAAATGGCAGTAAGACCGAATATTCTAGATCGATCAATGAGTTATGCATTAAGTATTGTTTGACTTAAGGATATCAACTTAAACCATTTCGTAGTAAGAGATACTCTCGAAAGTATCACACAGATCATACAGATCAGCCTTATCTCTACAAGTCAATCAAACAGGGAACAAAATGTAACTAATAACAGAAATATAATGCTTCCAACGTCATTCAAAAAGTACGTTCCAGAATAACTTATTTTTATTCTATTAATACATAGAAGATTCTTGATTCTGAAACGTGTAATAGAATATGACAAACGTGAAAAGTGTACAAACAATGCTTTCGCTTTGTAGTAGCTACCTATTAGGGAATCTGTTAAACAAATTTTTGTTTTCAATAATTGTAAGAAAAAATCACACTTTAAGCTTTTAGATCAAGTTGTGCGCCTCATTAATTAGCTGAAGAGATAATAGCTCAATTTAATTGTGCCTAAACAAAGCCTGCACTATGAATATTAAATTCGATAAGCTTAGTGCTCGTTTATAGCAGATCAATTTGTGGGATTACATAACCCATACGGCACATTGTGAAATATAGAGAGTTTATTTTTGCTACTAAGGTCATGGTATGTGGTATCTCTTATTTGTAATCTTGATTGAATCATGCACCCTTATCTTCTTCTCACTCTGAGTCACACGGGCTAGCGAATAGCAATGATATACGAGTTGGTTTATTAGCATGAAAATATAGTGCAAAAATGTGTGGGGCAAACCTTTGATCATCTCGCTGGGTTTACCGAGCTTTTCAATGCGATACGAAGGGTTCTTATCTCTATGATTTTGAGGGTCATACTTTATGGGGTCAAGTGGTCAAGTGGTTACATAAGTTGGGAAAAGGGGAAGGTGTTGACTATTTGACAAGCCCAACTGCTGTTTACAGTTATGAACACGGCCTTGACCATGCCACACAAAAACATACCTTTTACGTTTCCCCTAATTTAGTTGGCAGGCTGCCTAATTGCCGCCAATGGTGACCCTCCCTCCCCCTTTTTTTTTATTCTCCCACCCATCGTTCGATCATTTAATTTCGTGTTATTTGATTTCTTCGCTTGTGAGTCAATTAATGCAAATTTCTGGCTGTCAACGCGGCAATTCACATAATGAATCTCCGTCGCCAGGCTAATCTCCGGCTGCAATCAGTGCAGATTAGCTGGGCCAGCTAGCTAGAGAGCTGGGGTTAAATTGGCATATTTATGTTTCACATTGGTGAGTTGGCAAAAGTTTCTCAAGGCGCCAACTATCTGGCTTTAATTCAGATGCAGCTACGTGACCCCATGCTCTTAACCCCTTCTGTCCCTTTGGCGCTTTCGAATGCAAACAATGTTGTCTGCTCTTTGTACCTTTGGCTTTGGCCAACTTCACCTTTTGCGCCGCGTTTCCCATGATTGTCTTAAATCAGACACGACCTCCTGGTCTCCTGGTCCTTTCGCCTCCGCGGGGGTCACGTAGCTGGCAACTTTTATTGCGTAGCCGGAAACGGAAACGCCGCGAACATTCTCGACAGCCAAATGGAGAATGGACAAAGAAATCGGAGGGGGTAACGAGCGAAAAGGGGTCTCTGTGGCCATGGAAATGGGGCAGGAGCCACTGCAGCAGCCACAGCAGGAAAAACTTTAATGCAATTTGCATTTCATTCGAATTCACATGCTAAATTTATTTTAAAACGAGCTGCCTTTTTCCCCCCCACACACACACGCACACACACACACACGCAGAAGCACAGATGCCACTGGCTTTTCCAATTTAATTGTGACAACTTTTTGGCCAAACTTATTATTATTATTATTTGTGGCCGGCCGGTTGCAATGGCTAATTTATGCACATACCAGCCCATGCACTTGCAAAGTGTACTACGTTAATAAGTAATTTTTATGTTCGTAGGAATAAATTTTACAACATTTCATTGTTTTCCTTTAAAAAAAATGTTTTATGGTAGAGCCTCAGTACCAATTCGTAGAATTATAAGCAAAAATGTATTAAAAAACAGAAAAAAGAGGTCTTACATAGTTTTGAACTTGTGAATCATTTTCTGAATAATGCTAAACAAACAATTTCAACAAATGAGTGTTTCTTTTTTTTTATTTTAAAGACAAAGAATAAAGAAAACTGAAGCGGCCATAAAGATGTATGAATATTTAACATATGCGTACAAAGAACTAGAAAAAAAAGATTTTTAAAGACTTTCCCGATGAAATAGGCAAAAACAGCTGTGTTATAAAACTTAAATATTACAATTTTTAACTTGCATTTCTAAAAACACTATTATTTTAATCACTTCTGTTTATTAGGAACCATACTTATTACTTTTGCTGCCAGCAGCAGACTTTTCCACTTAAAGCCGCCCATCCAAAATCAAAGTCAAGGTCAGGTCGTGCCACGCCCACTACGACGCCCGTGTCTGATTATGTTTTGATTGGACGCAGCCTAAATTATTTGATTAATGGGATATGTCAGTGAATAAACAAAATTTGCGGCAAATGTCACATTTGCAAATTGGAAATCTCCCCGTATTTGCAATTGCACATATATCTGCATATATGTATATGTTAGTATTTAAACAGCGAGGAGGGACACATTTTGTGGTCAATGTAGAATTTAATTTATCATTTCGCTCTCGATTATGCCGCGACTTTTGTTTATCTCTTCTATGCAAACTGACAGCAGATGATTGGTGGGCGTGGCCCTCTGTTTCAGTGGCCTTGATGATGCGATGCGATGCGATGCGATGCGATTCGCCTTGGCGTTGCATCATTAAAATGCAAATAACAGTTTGCTCCTTTGACTAAGCGTTGGCAATGCGTGCCGCACGTGTGGCGGGGACTGAAGCTGAAGTTGCGGCTAAAGGATTTGCAGCAGGAACTGGAGCTGGAGCTAGAGCTCCTTTCTTCATCTTCAGGTGGAAATAGTTTGCCAACAGTTGACAGCAACTTGGCATTTAACAATGTTCTAAGCGCGTGTTTGGGCGGGGATTGTGGTTTTCTGGTTGAAAGGCTTCAAAATGTCAGCGAACTTCTTCCGGCTTTTCTGCGATGGTCACATTGTTGTATTTCGTTGTTGTACATTGTACGCTGGTCACTCTTGCGTGGCTTACTCCAACTAAAAATCGTTGAGACACCTTTTCTGAAAGTCCATTTTAATCAATTTTTCTAGTTCTTTTTAAAAATAATTAAGAAAAGAGAACGAAAAGGTTGAAACCTTAGTTTTTGTGTGTTGATAGTTATAGTTTAGTGTTGAAATTGAAATGCTGGTCGCTGGAACTATCGTATTCATGAAATTTTTTTTAAACACTTCTGTATTTCAGCTCTTTAGTTCTTACTTGTAACTTGAAGTTAAGATTGCTTAAAATATTATACATATACATAAATTTTCACAGGAAACTTGATATGTTAAGTTTTCTTTTATATATCATAAATGGATTAAATCTATATTTCATAAATTTGGCAACATAGTTAATATAGTTTCAGGGCAATCCTTAATACCACAATGGGTGGCAGTCCTAAAACCATATACTAGTTGTAGAATGTCAAACCTTGCCCAAGTTAATTGTCAAAAAAGAAAATTCATTCTGAACGCAGAGACTGAACAGTGACGATGCCTTTGCCCCAGAGTAAGAAGCCTGTGTCCTTGCTGATTTGGCTGAGCTATCTGCCCCACAAAGAACCAAAACCCGTCCTAACCCTTCGCTATTACAAGCGCAAGCCCCATTTCCATCCCAAAACCTCGGTCCCAAGAACTCCACTAGCTCCTGTTGTGAGGTCCAAGATTCAGGAGGCGGCCGCCCATATGCGTGCCATTTTGCATCGTTTGGAGAAGGTGGACTCAATCATCAACGAATCCCGGACCAGGCCCGATCCCTTCCAGTATTTGAAGCCGATGACCATGGCCCCCCCGGATAAGGATATCAAGAACCAGAACTTGGACGGCTAAAGGACAATTTGAATTTGCCCAAAGCGGAACTCGCAAGCGGCCATCAATGAAGCAAAGCTAAATACATACCGGGAATACGAAACTGGCGGCTTGTCTTTCATCTCGGTCGTTAGCAGGGGGTCTCTGAAATTGGATTAACCTCAGCACAATGCAATTTGATTAAGTTCGTTTAGATCAAATTGAGCGCCACAGCATCGCAGGGGCTGCAAAGTAGTGTAGTATAGTAGGGGGCCGAGGTTCAGCCCTCGTTGCCTAATTATGTCCGGTGTTTTCACATGCTAAACCGCCCTCAATCAGTTGGGGGGGCACCCATTCATCCATCCACCCATCCAACCATCCATCCCCGAGAACCCTTCAGCGGTCTGTCAAGGTCGCACGCGATGAAGCCCCCAGACAATGAAATTGAAAGTGTTTACTAAAGCCGCCTCCATCGAAAAAAAAAAAACAGAAAAAATACAAAAAAAAAAGAAGTTGGCATTGGCAAGCAGACTTCTATATACCCTTGCAGGTATTACAAAAGTATTCTAGAGAAAGACTATATATATGTCGATTTTCTGCTGACTTTTTTAATCTTTCTTATGACAGCTGATGTCCGATTTTTATAAAAATACAACCATCGCTATGAAAAAGTGTTGCCATGGGAGTTGCATAAAATAGTCAGCCGATCCTGCAATCCCGGGAATGTTTTCTTCAAATAGCTTTATAAATAAGGGACTAGTTTGCGTATATGTGCTACTTTATAGGGTCTG